TTCTAAACTAACACAAAAACATTTAGGTTTACATTCATAGAATAAAAAGAAACTAAAGACATTTACAGTTATTCACAAACTCATCAAACGTATAAAAAGCTTTCGACAATAAAAAATTCCTAATTTTGTTTTTAAACTTAGGCAACGGTAATTGTTTTATGTGTGGGGGCAAACAGTTATATAAAAATTTCGACTGGTACAAAATACCATCTTGCGATTTGCGTAGCCTACAAAATTCAGCGCGTATGTTATTTTTGTTCCTAGTGTCATGTTGGTGTATTTCATGTTGCATTATGTTCTGAGATTTATTACGTTTAGTATAACATTCTAAAATATAAATGCACGGGACAGTCAGGATTTGTAGTTTAACAAACGTTTTTTGGCAATCTTCTCTATATCCAATGCCTCCTATTACGCGAACAGCTCTGCGTTGTAATCTAAAAATACACCGCCAGTGGGAACTGTGGCCTCAAGCAAGGATTGCGTAGGAAATGATGTTTTGAACAAAAGCGTAGTAAGCAGATCGAATTGTGTTTAGGGAAGTATTGCTTCGTAGTCGATTTAATAGAAATATTGACCTGTGCAACTTTTATATACAGGCGATAAGACAGAGTTAATGAGTGATACGTGTCATTCTCTGATGATTTTGATCCTCTCGTGATCAGGATCCTTGAGCTTGCAGTTATTAACGGCCGAGGTTTCTGGCAATGGCTTTTCTAAGCGCACGATTGACCGCAAAAAACAAATTTGATTGACTGAACTAGTAACGATGGCCGCTGATGGAATCAAGTAGTACCATTTTGGGGCGTGTTAGAGAATTGAAAAAAAGTGGGGACGCGTAGACAGTAGAAGCAGTTCATCTGACTAGATTATCTAGCCTCCTGCCATGCGCAAAACGGACAAATTATGGTAATTAGGGATAAAAAGGGGGAGGGGATGATTGCCCTCGGGAGTTATTAACCCTAGACTCCACTCCCACAACAGATCAAAAGTGTTTAAGGTGCAAGGAAATTGATCACAGTTTTACATGTTTTTTTAGGGTCCAGACAAGTTCTATAACAAACCATAATTAATTCCCCCCCCCCCCTCCACAAGGAATAAAATCGATACACCGCTAGCATTAGATCAACGACTATAAGTGGTCGGCAACAAGTAAAAAAATAGATTATGTGTGGATATCGGGGGTAGGCACGAAGTCAGGGGATAATAACTCCTGATGTTAATCCCCCCCCATTGTATGATTAATTAACAGTGAACCATAATTTTCCCAATTTGGGGTATGGCGAGAGGCTAGGTAGTGCAGTCATATAAACCGTAAATGACGTAGCCGCTTAACAGCACCCGAAGCTTACCTTTGCCTCGCTGATCGGCCGCAAATATTCTCAACGTGTTTTGACAGCCATGCAGCTCAGTAGAGTCGCACAATGATCCAGTCGTTAACAATCAACATTTGTGTGAGCACCGCCCCCTAATTGGGGTTCGAAGGGCAAATCAGCGTGGTGCCACGTTGGAACTTAAAGAGGAAGGATCAAAGAGCATATGTGCCAATCTTCATAGCTCAATAGTGCGAACTTTATCTCATTTTAAGAGACTAATATAACCATACCAGTTGTAGCGTAAAAAATTGAACAAAAAAATCAACTACTACGGGAATTGATAAAGTTAGTGCCGGAAATTTTCGCCTAGAATGCGCGTAATTAAAATATGTGACTGTCTTGTTCGATGATTAAGTTGGAAATGCGGAAGTAGTTAAATAAACCTACGTCTAGCAACATGATTAAATAAGCTGGCGTAAAATTTAGCGGGTTGCTTGTAAATAATTTATTTAAATCAAATTAGTTACTTTATTGGAGTCCACTATAAATTACGTAACCAGGAAAAATGTCCGAGAAAAGTCAATGTGTATTGTTTTATTTTGAAATAAGGAAATCTCATTGTGTTTCTATTTGTATTCTCAACCATTACCGTGCCTCTAAGGGTAATGTGAGTTAAATTTTGATGATTAAGATAAAAATAAACCCTTAAAGGAGCGGACATTTCGCATATAAAGTGTATTAAATTTTAAATTGGACCCACATGTGAATTCTAGTTTACTTAGAACGCCAATTTTCAAACAATAGAGACCTTTTGGTTAGGTTCATGTTTTGTATTTCTAGTTTTTAAGATGTTGAGCTGTGTATTAAAAGATAGTAGTAGTAAATGTTATCGTGTAACAGGGGATAGGCCACACAATTAAGTAAGGCATGACTCAATAACAGAATTCTAAATTAACAAAGTCAAATTAGTCATCATATATGTGAAAGGAGATTGGTTTGTTATTGAACGGAAAAGGTTGCTGAGTACAGTCAGAGCTCAAGATAATACTATCAGGGATTTCAACCCCGTACCCCGCTACCATTACGAAGGTTTGAATCCATTTGGTGATTTTGATCGGCATACCACATCAGATTTTATCGAAATCGGACCCTTTGGAGTAGGAGACTTGTTCCACAATCGGAAATGACTATTACAAAAATCTAGGTAAACCCGAATTGATCAGGGACCTTACGTTTTATCTACACTTCTTAAAGAAGGTACTTTCCCCAAACAGGAACATTTGAAAACTTGTTCCGATTTCTGCGTCTTAAAATTACCTTAAACTCAAACAGGTAGGGACTCGTAACGTCGCAAAATGTACAAACAAAAAAAGGGAGTAAATTAAACTGAAATTAAACATCGGCCAAATCGTACATTTCATTAGCCTTAACGACGTGTTTAATTAAAATTTCGTGAGGACTCAAAGGTGAAAACGAATAAACCAGCATCGACTGTTAATTAATTGAATTCAGATTAACAAAATTAGATTTGCTCAAGTCGATGATTTTTTTTCTGTTAGTTATGAATAGGTAACACAACTTAGCATGTAACATAAGAAACGAGGCGTGTACGCGTGTTAACAATATTAACTGTCAATAAAAAGACCACACCGTGATTTTAACACATATATAAATTTAATTATTTCTAAATGACTTGCGATCTAGTCTAACAAATCATTTAACCGTTTTCGATTGTACAGAATTCAATTATAAAGTACAAAGAAAGCGCATATAGGATGGTATAAAATATTACATTTCGATTTCTAAATGGTCGGGGGACTTCGCATCGTTAAGAAAATAACACTTTACTTATTGTGTGAAGAATTGAATTTTTAAGCTATTTATGATCTATGACGGTTCCTCCTCGTGGTCAACAAAAAGAAGTGAGTAATAAATAAGGTTGAAGGGTAAAAAGCGCTGTATTCTAAAATGTTACCAGAGAAAACAAGCAATGTATTCCTGTTATCAATAAGATAACGTGTATGCAGAATGTCACCCATGTCGTTCCATGTGTTATGGTTGCTGAGTAAAGGAGAAACTCAAATTTTGAGACTTTTGGGAAATAGTTACCAAATATGCAACAGGTTTACATAAAAAGGGGGTTGAACCTCCCTCCAATTCTTTAACAAAATACTTATCCGACCAATACAATGGCTAGCTTCTAACACAAATTTTACTATGATTGACAGTTCACCTAACTAAAATATAATCATAAATGTACCTACCCACTAAATTGAAAGTTTTCTTTATTGAAATCGGGACAAACTAACTTTAAACAAGAAGCTGACTTGTTAGCGATCGAACCCAATTGTAGTGGGTTATTAAATGGTAAAATTCATGCAATACAAAACGGCTTCAATTGCCCATAGGTTGGTCTCTTTAAGAACTTACAAATCAAAATTTTCCTATAATCAAATATAATTATTAACGATGATTTTTCTTAAAGATTCAGACCTTTAATTTTACATAAATGGAATAACGGTACCCATATAAGTCGTCGTTTTGTAGGTGACGATATTGATATAAAATTAGACCGGAATTAGAACGGAGCTGTAAAGTAAAACGTTGCCGCCGGGAAAACCTCTTCGGTGAATTTTCAAGTGACGAAAATGTTCTCTGGCCGTAGTTTTTTAGCAATTCTATTAATGCAACGATTTGGTCGAATTTGAAACGTTTTTTATATTTTCCCAACCGGAGAAATCTTCACTGTGTAGGAATTTTACAGTTTGATTTTTCTTACAGTTTTTTCATTACTGCTGCGACCATAATAATGTTACGATTAGAAGACAAAGTTCCATCCCCCCTTCAATTTCACAGGCAGAAATCAACTACTCTGAATTTAACGAAAATATAATGGCGCGCTGAATTAGTTCGTCCTTAATCGCGACCACGACTCGACTTCATGCCACAGAAATTCGATTGCATAACGGTCACGTTTTTTATTCTTGCCAACTAGACGATAATGCCCTTCTTTGTGGGGTAAGTTAGAAAACAAATATGTTTAGATAATTCACTGAGTTATCAGCGGTTTTAACGATAAAATTTTAAGCAAACATATCCGCTATTACCATTTAGTTTCATTATGACCGAAAAAATAGCAACTTTCACAGTCGTAATGCACTGACTAACAGCCGAATTTCTTTTAACTCCCTTTAAAACACATACCCCGCAAGATGGCGCCATAATGCCAAAGTTAGGTATATTTATTAGACCCATTACTCTCGTATTACTGAAAATCATGCAAATATGAGGATAAGTTCTAATTCTACTAGTCAAGAAGTCGGTAATAAGCTTTTTTGGGATTTCAATTTCCATTATTAATATTTTAAGTATTATTAACACTTTAAAGTAATTAAGAATTCCCTTAATTAATTTGTTCAATCGACCACTTCTGCGTGGTATTAGTCTGCTGACCCTAAGCGCCATTATTTATTTCAGCTTTATTATCTATTGATTTCTTTGTTGGTACCCAGGGTTATGCCAGGCGCTTACATAATCATTTTAAATTCAGTTCTTCTGAATTGTGGGAGTGATCAAGGCTGTCGAGTTTTCTCGAATGAATAAACTTCAAGTCTTACCGAGATTTTTCCTGGTAGAGGATTCTGAATTACTATCACAAAGGAAAATTTATAATATACTAGCTGACCCGGCAAACGTTGTTTTGCCATATTAATTATTTCTAGTAATTGCTATTGTGGACAGAAAATATATAAGTTGTTACAGCGAAACTCAGAACGGAGATCGTCTACCTGTTCTATTTTTAAAACGGACAGTTGCACTTGAGGTGGTTGAAGGGAGGGTTGTACCCTTAAGCCGGATGTCGACTCATAAACGTCCCATCACTCCCAAGGTTCTGTTATTTGTTAGTCTTCAACTGAAGAGTGTACAGTGAGGTTATAAGAGTTTGTAATAAAATGGATCGTTTCTGTGGGTTTTGTGGCGCAAGACGCCAAGTGCAATTTGATTGTGCATTGGGTTAGTTTAATATACAATCGTGTTTAAATCCAATATATATATAATAAATTTTTACAGATAGTTGCAGCAAATGCAAAACAATGCCTTTTATCCAAGCACATGAAGCAACAAAAACGACAGTATTAAGATGCTCGGTTTGCACTACATATATTTGCGCCCTAACTCGGTATTGCGAAATTTGTGGCCACACAGTGGAAAGGAGCCGATCAGTGAGAGTGCAAAGAGCCGCGACACTTGCAGCGAATATTGATAGCAAGAGAAGGGAAGCCATCCAAAAGCGGAAACAACGCAAGGTAGACGTAGACGGTGATGAAGTTTGCGTTCATCAGTTTTCACCTTTGGCCACTTCTTCGCCGACATTGTCGACATCTGTCTCCTTTTCGTTGCACGACGACGACGACCTTGACATTGTGATGGCGCAACTGCCCTTGCCCGACGACGCTCCTACGGACTCCCCAGCAGCCCCAGCTACGGATTCCGTAGCCACGGACTCCGCTCCTACGGATTCCCCAGCCACGGACTCCGCTCCTACGGACTCCGCAGCGGATTCCGCAGCCACGGGCTCCGCTCCTACGGACTCCGCTCGTATGGAATAGGATTTATTGCCAATATAGTGTATATTTAAAAATAAAATTTTACATTCAAAAAATAACGTTTCATTAATTATTGCCCATTTGCCAATATACTGTAAGTTTATTAGATTTTATAAACGTTAGTTTACATATATAATACATAGCGGACCCGACAGACGTTGTCCTGTGTACACGTCTTTAATTTGAAAATTTCAAACTTTTTTTAATAAGCTAAAACATTCTGGACCATTTTGATGAAAATTATTATTCAAATGTTATGACAATATCTAACGTCATTACATGTAAATTTATTACAATTAGACTAATCGATAGCGTGTGAGTATGTGTAATGATTAAATCTTCAACTTGTTTTAATTAAAGGTAAAAAAGTTTACACTCAAACTATTTTATTTAAAAAATAAATTTTTTTATTTACAAAAACTTTATTTATCGTAATGCCATTGGATGTACAATATTTTTGGTTAAACCCTGAGGTGTATAAATAAATAAATTCGATGGTTTTCCAACTCTGGAACACGCAACATATAATTGGCCGTGAGAAAAACATGGGTTTTCTAAATCTAAGCCACAAATTGTCATTGTTTGGCCTTGTGATTTATTTATGGTCATAGCATATGCCAAGCGGATTGGAAATTGTAAACGTTTGAATGGTATAGGCGAATCTGAAGGAATCATTGGGATCCGTGGTAAAAGTACAACTTCACCTCGAAATTTTCCACTCAAGATAGTGGCTTCAAGAATGTTGCCCATGATTTTTTTTACAACTAATCGCGTGCCATTACACAATTTTGGGGCATTTAAATTTCGAAGCAAAATTATAGGTGAGCCAATTTTCAGTCGCAAATTATGTGGTGGCATTCCAGGTAAATCTAGTGAATTTAGAAACTCTACAGGATAGTTGACAACTTCGTCAGGATCAACAACAGTGTCAATCGATTTAAATGTAATTTCATCACCAGGCAATGACTGTTGTATTTTAAAATTGATGGCGTCAACATCTAAATTTTTTGCGGCTAAAATAGCTCGCTCTCGCAGCCATTCATGATTAGTATAATTATGTCTTAAATCTGGAAAGATACTTGTTATTAACTCATCTTTGGTAGCCACCATGTTGCAAAAATTCTCTGGAAGTCGAATATATTGTGTATCTTCATACAATTGAATTTCACCGTTGCCAATGTCTAACAATTGTTCAGAGAATCCTGACGCTAATGGATCATTTTGAAGTCGAACGCGCATATTAATAGTAAGGCGTAATTTAGTGACACTTGGCCATAGATAAGATTCTTTCAAACATGCGTTTATTTCGTCTGCATATGTCGCGCGTGGAATGACTGGTAATGTTTGTCTGAAATCACCAGACAGCAGCAGTAGAGCACCACCGAAAAGCCGAGCATTATTTTTGATATCTTTCAGGGACCTGTCGAGAGCTTCAAGCGAATGCTTGTGGGCCATTGTACATTCATCCCAGATAATAATTTTACATTTTCTCAAAACTTCAGCCATGCCTGAATGCTTCTTTATGTTACACATTGCTTCGGGATTTGTATGAACGTTCAAAGGTAATTTAAGTGCTGAATGCGCAGTCCGTCCACCATCAAGTAACGTTGCTGCAATGCCTGATGAAGCAATGGCCAATGCAATATGATTTTGAGATCGAATCCGCGCAAGTATCAGTGCGATAAGAAATGTTTTACCAGTGCCACCTGGAGCGTATAAAAAAAAGAATCCACCTTGTTGTGCTGCAATTGAAACGTTAATTTGATCATATACATTTCGTTGTTCAGCAGTGAGCAATTGTTCATTTTCCGTAACAAAAGTAGCCAAAGAAGTCTTATCGAACTGCTGTTCACGTTGAACATCGCTGTTGATGATGTCTACTGCTGGGCGATTCGGCGCTGGCATTCCAAAATGGATGAGCGCCATGTTTGAAATAAGAATACAAATATCCTCAATCATTATTAATGACTCGTTGTATATTTCGGCGGAGAATTCAATATTAAGATTTTCATTAGTAATTCTAGTCCGATGCAAAATATCCTCACTCATTGAGTCTTTATATTTGTTCCACAGAGCAGATACATCAGACGGAAAACACATTGTCAATATTATTGAAAATAATTGACGAATTTGTTGTGGAGATGAGCTCAGTGCTGCATCTGCAAGTGTGAGATCCCAATGGTTATCATCCTCCAATAAATGTAACTCACGACACGCATCGAAGAAAGAGTCGTATGAAGTACCATTGACTTTTCGCAAATATTGGAAGGACGTCGGTCCAGGGACGTTAACCAGTAATAAACGCAAAAAAAAACATTCGCGTTGCTTAGGATGAACTGTATATAATCGACCTAAAGTATTTGTCATAAATATATCAGCGAATCCTGGGACTGGAATGCCTCGTTTCCGCGGTTCCCAATTCTTTGATTGTTTATTCCATGTAAAAAATTTAGGAACATCAGTGTACATCAACGTCCTTGCGAATTGACCAACAGCATTTTGTCGACTACAAAGGTTAAAGAATTCAGTAAGAGTTGTTTTTGGAGCCGTCAAAGCCTGTTGTAGTGCAGTTTCTTCTGTAAAGTAAACACGCTGTCCGTTTTCAAGATGCACAGCCAAATGTATAACAGCAGGATCCCTTTCATGTATATGGAACGTAAAAATGCGCCAAATAGCTTCGTTGCTACTTATGTATCGACCCATTTGATAACGTGTTATTTCGTCATTGTCGTTTACATTTTGAACAGCAAATATAGCTTTATCACTACCCTTGTGAACATACTTACAAATGTATTTGATTGACTGAACCGAACTGCATAGTTCAACGTTTATGTGCGCTTTGTAGGTTTTGCACAGCAATGGCGAATATGGAACTACCCAGCGATTATCAATATCTACTCTCACACCATTTGACAGACGCAATTCATATGATTGACCACCATTGTCTACGTCTCTACGTCGATAAGATGGATAACCGTCCATATTGGTGATAGTATCAGTTTCACATGGTTTTGGAAAACGTTTTGTACATTTTCCATTATCCATACATGGCGACATCATGTTTAGAGTGCCACATGGACCATGGATCATATTTGTAGTAACAATGTTAAACAATTCTGGATCAACATTCGGATCTGGAATTTCCGCTGAAATAATTTTGTCAATTTCTTCTGCGCGTATTTTATCCACCAACCAAATTAAAATATGCGCATGAGGTAAACCTCGTTTTTGCCATTCAACAGAGTAAAGCCAACAACGCGTTTCACCAAATACCGAGTAATGTGTAATCAAATTCATCAAAGATTTCAATTTTTGTTTAAATACACGTGCAGTGACATCATGACGGTGCATCGATGTTTGACCTGGCAACAGTAAACTTTTGATTTCATCCCAGTTTGGATTACACGTAAATGTGATAAAAAGATCAGGTCGGCCGTATGCACGTACGTAAGTCATGGCATCTTGAATATATTCCTGCATATGACGCGGGCTACCAGTGTATGATGATGGGAGAATATATGCGGTACCAATATTGTTGATGTCATTCGTTGCATCTACGTTGCCGATTACGGCGTCACGTAAATGAATGTACTCATCAGCACGAAGTTTTGCTTGATTAAATTTTATGTATCGTAATCTCTCACTTTCGATTTTTACATACATATCGACAATGTACTGATGGAATAGCTGTCTGCATCGGAGAATACCATTATCTTCATTGGCACGAATCATTAGTCGATATGCATAGTAGTTCATAGCACTAACTGTCTTGTTCAGTTCTTCACCTGCAAATAAATATAATTATGAGATTAACAGAAATTATTAATTAAAATAAAATAATTTTAAGATAATTTATACGTTGTACCTGTAGTTGGATTTCTTTGTTTAATATTGATATGATATCCATCTTCTCCTTCCCAAAATATCAACGGGTACTGCAAAGCATCGTAAGAACGATGATTGTCTTGAATTATTTGCATCGTATTATCTCTGCGTTGTATGCGAATATCTCGACGTTCACATGGGTCACCAGCCATAATGACTGCAACTTCATTAATAGTTGGAACATTATATGTGCCTGCGTGCTCTCCATAGGGCACTTTGTCTGCTTTAATGACAATGACGTAGTTGTCGTTTTGCAGTCTGTTAGAAAGAGTCTTAAACAATCGTATCAATTGGTTATTGTTTTGCAAAAACGTTTGCAAATTATCCACAATTTCTCGTTCTTCCATCCGCTCTATATGGTTGTAAAGGCAGCGTGTATGTGATTGTTGCTCCTCATCGCCCATAAAATAAATTTGTAGAAATTTTGGATCGGCACCAGGCATTGGAAGCAATGAACCAATTTGGTGGTACACCTGACCTTGAATCTTGAATGTAGATTCAAAATTACGACCATCTTCATTATGAACAATTTTTGTTGCTCCAAATGATGTCATTTGGAAGCATGAATTGAATTTACGAATTTTTCGCAAAAACAATTTCGATTGAGATGTGGTTCCGGCTAAAAGTGTTTTTAAAGGTTCCGGTGGTGGATTTAGCGATGGCAGTGAAATTTTTCCAGATGCGCAACATAAACCAGTTGATTCACCTTTATACTTGAAAGCATGACAATATTGACACTCTTTGTCCATACTACCTATCGTGATTAGTGCATGTGACGAATAATCTATTTCAGGAAAATATTCGAACGCAAGACGATTAAATGATGCTCGTGACAATGCTCGATTATGTTGCACTTGTTGATGATGATGGTCTCTATGTGCGTCGGTAGCTCGTTGACGTGCCTCTCGTTGTCTCAATGCATTAGCATGAAGACGTTGAACGCGTTGTTCTGCATTCTCATTTGCTCGTGAACATGCAACTTGATCTCTTACATTTGCATTATCCGTTGAGTGTTCTTCAATTGATCTATTTAACCGACGCTCATGGACTAATTGGGCGGTCCGAGTACGCCGACCAATGTTTTTTGCTCTTCCACGAAGACGTGGCATTTTTCTGTATAAGGAAAATACTGTAAAATAATACATAACAAAAATGAGTGAAACAGTCATACATTAATGACGCCCAAAACAATTATAAGAAATATACTCACTTCGATTCTGCACTATTTTATGTTAATTTTAGATACACTTCACAACTCTTCTCAAAACACTCTCCACAATAACACAATGATAACAAAACATCCAACGGCCAGTACAAAACCTCGCGACCAATGCCCGTTTACGAACGAAGACGGAAACGCACGAATTTAATTTCGTTGCTTGCGCGCGTTCTATTTATAGATGAGACGCTGGCAAGGCAACAGTATACTGAAGAAGACGTCGCTCGCGTATTCTTTTAACTTAACTGACTGATTGCCTCTCATTGCACGCGAAACAAATAATTAGCAATAAAGTAATGTTGCCACTATAAATTGTGAATCTAAACCATTCTCAGATCCCCTTGAACACACACAAAAAATTTAATCAAAATCGGTCCAGTCGTTGAAGAGAAGTTCAGTAACAAACACACTCACAGAAGAATTATATATATTAAGAATAACATGCAGCGAGAAATTCAAATGCACGAGTTGAGAAGATCACAAGGACGGCTAGATGAAGGTAATTGATCCCGGATTACCACCCTGGCCCATCCGCACCATCGAGGACCACGAAAAAGGAGCACCGCTATAAGTGATTCGCGAACGCGTGTGTGTGTGAAAATAAGTGTAGAAATAATGCGGAGATGCGAAAAGGATGACTTTAGAGAGAGCAGTAGAATCCTTTGGAACTGAGGTGAAACATTTTTTAGGTAATTTACATAAGGACAATGAGGCTCGCAGGAAGGATCTCGTCGTTATTAACAGTAAGTTAGAAAAATTAAGTACTTTTAATGTTAATTATGATACTATTTTATGCGAAGTCAATAAGTTAGAGGATGAAAGCACTGCATTATTATATAGGGAACATTTATTTGTCATAAAAAATAAACTTGAGGCTTGTAGTAATATTTTAGTTCAACGTCAACATCAAATTCAAAGTAGTAGTAATATTGATATTCCTCAACGCAACGCAGAGATTATGGAAACTTTTAACTTTAAAACTGCATCCAGCTTACTTTCAAAATTAACTGATAAGGTGGAGTCTGTTCACGAGCTAATTAACGGAATAGAATTATACGAAGCTGTACTGGATAACGTAGGTAAAAAGTTGTTAATTAATTATGTATTAAAAGCTTGTGTAGGAAACACCCAAAAAGTAAAGTTACAGTCAACATACGATAGTTGTTCGGAATTAGTAAAAGATTTGAAAAAGTATTTTTTGCCAAAACGTTCGTCAACAGCGTTAGCAACACAGTTACAAAATGTAAAGCAAAACAATTCCACGTTAGAAGAATTTGGTAAGACGGTAGAGAAGCTAATGGCAGAATTAACAGTAGCCCAATCGGGAAATGACGATAACCTACTTGAAGTGTTTAGGAAGGAAAATGAAAAGGTAGCAATTGATGTGTTTTCAAGAGGGATTAAAAATCATGAAATTCGTACAATTATAAAAGCCCGAAATTACGAACATTTGAGAGATGCTGTTAATGGAGCAAAAGATGAAAGTGTTGAAACGGAACAGGTCATGATGAGAATGAACGGTTCACAACATTTTTATCGTGGCGGTAATAATTATCGTAGAGGTCAAGGAAGTAATAGGTTTAATAGAGGGAAAAATGTACCGTTTAGGCAATTTAATAATTTTAGGGGACAGAGCAGTAGAGGAAATTTTGGTAGTAGATTTAATAATAGGAATCCCAGTAGTTTTAGAGGAAATTCATTTAGATCGAGCAATTTTAGGGGACGATCAAATTACAACAATTATAATCGATCACCACCCTTTGGCAATCGCGCCATGTTTGTCGCGGACCAACATCAAAACATAGAATCGACAACAACAGAAAATAATCAGGAAAGAAGGCAGTTTTTTCGTGACTAAACAGAATTACGTTTTTAGTTTAAATAGCCTGAATTATGTTAATTTAAATTATAGTGATAGGTCACTGTCGTTTTTGTTAGATACAGGTGCGTCAGTTAGTGTAATTTTTAAAAATAGGTTAGATAATGAGTTAGATAGAATTAATTTCGGCAATAAAATAAGGATTAGAGGTATTGCAGGAACGATTCAGTCGTATGGATCAGTTAATGCGGAACTAAAGGCCAAAAATTTGAAATTTTCCTTCGATTTTCAAATCATTGATTCGTTCGATGAAAATATCGATGGAATTTTAGGAGTAGATTTCTTAGAAAAATATATAGGTTTAATTGATTATGAACATTTCGTTGTATCCTTCACAAATAGGCAGCAAAGAATTTGTTTACCAATGCAATCAAAATGCAACAATAATATTATAATACCGCCTAGATGTGAAATAATACATTATATATCAGTTACGGAAAATGATGATTGTGTTATTTTATCGGAAGAGATAGGTCAAGGAATTTTTGTAGGAAGTGTTATTGCACGACCCCGGTGTAACAGTATTCCAGTTCGGATACTAAACACTAGAGATGAAGAAGTTAAATTAAAAAATTTTAAACCAAAAACCGTCAAATTAGCAGAATTTCATACCATTACATTTTCGGAAGATAGGAAATCCGTTGAACGAGTAGAAAAAGTCTTAAATTTAATTGATGTCAAACACCTGAATGACGAAGAAAAGAGTTCAATAGACCACATTTGCGCTAAATATGCAGACGTATTCCATTTAGATGATGACCCACTAACAGTAACTAATGTGTATAAACATAGAATTCACCTTGAGAAGAATGTTATGCCATCGTACGTTAAGCCGTATCGACTTCCACATTCTCAGAAAGCTGAGATTGCAAAGGAGGTAGATAAATTGTTAAAATCGGGTATTATAGAACCAACCAACTCAGCTTGGTCGGCTCCATTATTAATAGTGCCAAAAAAAGTTGACAATCAGGGAAATCGAAAATGGAGAATTGTGGTTGATTACAGATTACTAAACCAAAAAATTAAAGATGATAAATTTCCACTTCCTAACATTAATGAGATTTTAGACTCACTTTCGTGAGCAGTATATTTTTCTCATTTAGATTTATCCCAAGGGTATTATCAAGTAGAATTGGATTCACAAAGTAGGCCACTAACAGCTTTTACGACAGGAACAGGCCAGTATCAAATGACCAGGTTACCTATGGGGCTAAAAGTTAGTCCGAGTGCTTTTTCGAGAACCATGACAATCGCAATGTCAGGTCTTAATTATGAAAATTGTTTTATCTATTTAGACGATCTTATTGTATTTGGAAAAAACTTACGACATCACAATCAAAATTTAACTAAGGTACTGAATCGGTTACGACAGGTAAATCTCAAACTAAATCCACAAAAATGTAATTTTTTACGAAAAGAAATTTTGTATCTAGGACATTTAATTTCGGAAAAAGGAGTATCTCCGGACCCTAACAAAATTGTAGCTATCCAACAATTTCCAGTTCCAAATGATGTCGAATCAACAAAAAGATTTGTCGCAATGGCAAATTATTACCGCTCATTCATAAAGAACTTTGCGGATATTGCAAACCCATTAAACAAATTAACGCGAAAAAATGTACCTTTCAATTGGTCAATAGAGTGTCAGTCAGCTTTCGAAACATTAAAGGAAAAATTAGTAAAACCACCCGTATTACAATATCCAAATTTCGGAAAAGATAATACATTTATATTAAAAACAGACGCATCAGGTAAAGCGATAGGCGCGGTGTTATGTAACGGAAATGATAATCCTGTAGCTTTTGCTAGTCGTACACTTAACAAGGGGGAATTGAACTATTGCACAATTGAAAAGGAACTGTTAGCAATTGTTTGGGCGATTAAGCATTTTAGGCCATATTTGTACGGTAGGAAATTTGAAATTCAGACGGACCATCGGCCGTTAGTTTATTTATTTGGAATGACTAATCCATCGAGTAGATTAACAAAATTTAGATTGATTTTAGAGGAATACGACTTTACCGTTGTATTTATTAGAGGGAAATCTAATGTTGTAGCTGATGCTTTATCACGAATTGAATTAACAAAGAATAAGTTACAAAAGATGTCACACAATAACGCAGATGTCATGAATGTATTAACTAGGTCACGATGTAAAAATAATCTGAACCACCAGAATTCCAATACTTCAGGAGACGAAACTAGGACTGATCACCCTGGAATCGTTGAACTGTTGAAAAAACCTGATAATTCCATTGAACTAACACCAATTGACAAGCAAGCATTCCAAAAATTAAATAAAACGGCACATAATTTACAATTTTATAAAGGCATGTCATATTGTAGTACGTTGCAACGAATATATTTTACATGGAGTAAATCTTGCTCAACGATGGGTCTTCGAGCGTCGTTGAAAGAGCTCCAAAAAGTATGTAAACAGTTAAATATTACTGAATTAATAATAATAAAAAATAAAGGTACCTTACAATTTATAAAAGAAATGGCCAAATGTTCAGACATGTTCAAAACCGCTAGCGTAAAAATATCGATATTAAGGAGTGCTCAATCAATAACAGATTTGCCGACAAGACAACTTATTTTAAACGATTTTCATTTACTACCCACAGGGGGACATTCAGGAATTAATAGAATGTACGCAAACATAAAGAAATACTATTATTGGAAAAATTTACACGACGATATAATTAAGTTTGTAAAAAAGTGCGACGACTGTCAACGTTATAAACATTCAAATACCCACCGTGAGCCTATGTCCATAACAACCACTGCGGCAGCAGCATTTCAAAAAATATTTTTAGATTTGGTAGGCCCATTAGACGTAGACGTAGATAACAATAGATATATTTTAACCATTCAGTGCGATCTTTCAAAATTTGTTGAGGCTTATCCCTTACGGAATAAAGAGGCATTGACCGTAGCAACGTCATTTGTTAACAATTTTGTTTTAAGGTACGGAATACCAGATGAAATCTTGACTGATCAAGGTGGAGAATTTATCTCAGAAATATTTTCGGAAACGTGTAAAATTTTCAACATTGAAAAATTAACTTCAACAGCTTATCACCATGAAACTATAGGAGGTCTCGAAAATTCACATAAAAGTTTAGCAGCTTATTTACGCATACAGACAGCAACGTACAAAAATTCTTGGAGCAGTTGGCTTCCATTTTGGTGTTTTTCGTATAACACGACAAACTCCATAATTTCCGCATCTTCCTCTGGTGTAACTGTAAAAAGTACATTTAATGAAAGTAAAAATATTTTATAACATAGAATAACTAACGAGTTTAAATAAAAAAATACAGTAAATTATACAACACCCCACATATGATAGCCTTAGGTAATCAGCTCTATTCTCTTGTAAATAATATAGGTTTAAAAGCTTCAGTCAAACTATCAAATACTTTATTGGTGTCATCATCCCCAATATTTATGAAAAGTGCAAAGCCAAAGCATTAATTAAAAATTAACTTAAGGTGCTACTATCTAAATAAACATACTACGAAAAGTTTTACTTTAACTTACAAAATGCTCTTTTTAACATACAATATTGCTTTATCATTCATCCAGAAAAAAATATTAAAAACACACTAAACAGCATAAAATACTGAAACAAATCACATTTATGTGTGTTACTTCACTGTTACAGACCACAAATTTAACATTTTTGAAAAAATACTCCATATTCCATGCTTTATACATACATGACCAATAATTCTAAAGGTTCTAACGAATGATAATATAAGTCAGAGCATGGAGAAGACTATTTAAAAAAATTACAGTGATAGACGCAAAATTAATTTGAGAGTTTATAAAAAACCGTGCTAAATAGCTACGCTTTCTTATGGTTTATGTGCATATGGGTAATATTGTTTTATAATTTATATCAATTTTCAATTTATTTTATGTGTAACAAATTTTGGCGCGCTTCTTCTAAGGTTAAATAGGTTGCATGATGTGCAAGGATTTATAGTGCTAAATCCCAACAAAACAGGATGTAGTGAAAAATCTTTTAAATTTACTGCAACCATTTGAAGAAGTAAAGCAGAAATTCACTTCAGAAAATGTTCAATCAATCATTCAATCAATCAATCTTTATTTGTCATACCTAAAGCGGTTTTGACACGTCTGACATGTTTGTATTTCTGAAATAATAGAACTGTTTAAATTTTAAAACCGTTTGCAAAGAGCCTATAGATTGTCTCACAGTGACTAGTCTGTACAGGGTGAATGCATAACATTGATGCCATACTTCTTTGCAAACTTGAGAACGCCATCGCTCACTGCATAAAACTGCAAATAATAACTAAAGACTATACCTCTTGTGACACTGGCCTGAACTGTTGTTTGTGCAAAAGTTGAGGTATCAGCATTGCCATTATTGCTGACTAAAGTTGAAACACTAGTCCTGCGTCGCGTTCTACGTTGACTAACCCTGCGTGTGAGAGGTCTACTAGGACGTGTTCGCCTAGAACGATTGGTATTACTTAAACTAATAGTTTCAGATTCATTATTTGCAATTGTAGCTGTTCTTAATCGTGTTGTAGGTCGATTTGTATGTAAATTGTCATCTCTTGAGTTACTTTCCGATGCATTGTTAACATTTGCAGTTCTCATTGTATCCACAATAGCGTTCTCTATTCTTGTTTCGACTATGCGTGCACCGTCAATGAGAAGTACATCATTTAAATCATCATTATGTCTGCTATTATCATTACTTAACAATGTTCGAACTAGTGAACTGACAAAGTACTTAGCGTTTTCTAAGAATTCAGACAATGATATTTGTTGATTTTGCAGTTCACGCCACGCTCGTGAAATATTGGCAGCATTTAGTAGGTATCTAACTTTAGGCAGTCTAGTTACCCTTTGACCAGAGTGAAGAATTATTACATCATTGTGTGATTTTGATTGAAGTTGTACCAGGTGCTCTGTAAAAAAACAAAAAATTTCCAATCATAAATATAACTTTAATTTGTACAGAACGCAATTTAAACATTTTGACAAATGTTACAACTTTAGTAACATGGGACCAAGGACGTAATACATCTCAGATTCAATATGAATTTAATGTACCTATTTATGACAAATTTTTTGCAGAATCGGAAAAAGTATACCTAAAGAACTATTCAAAGACGTGCCACATGTCTTTGTAGCTCTTATGAGCTGGAGAAAAATATAAGAAATGCAAATTTCACCACTTTTTTTAAGGTAGTTCCCAAAAGAAACACATTTGACTCAATTCCCTCTATCTCTCCATTTATGTTGCACCCTGTATAATACTGATAAAAAAATAACTATTTCTAAAAGCATGATGTGAAGTTCTGCTTCTCCTCGTGTTGATAGTCATCACTGAATGAACCTTCTGGTTCACTTTTCCTTTACCTTCCTTTCTATTTTCTCCTGTCAGTATACTCTTTTCTACCTGTTAGCTGCATTGTGATTGTCAATTTTATTTTGATGATAGGTTTGCATGTATATGCCATTCTTTTCGTGTTTTCAATATGAATTCAGCAAAGGATCACGCAAAACCATTAACGCGATGAACAACGCAAAAGCAGAACTTCAATGCATAGAAGTGAAGTCATTTGTGAGACTGATTACGCCCTGGTCCTTGAAAAAGTTATAATAAAGATCTAGATCTGCGATTAGTAACATTCAAAAACTATTCAAATTAATTTTTAAATAAGATTTGTGAATTGTTATACTAATTGGATTCTGTTGAAAAGATCTGGCTATATTTCATTACTCAAAGTTTTGATTTAGGTAATTCACTGATCGCAATTCCTTCTAAAACCTACTGTACAAAACAAACCTGTAAAAGCCCACACATTTGGATGAACACCAAACTTCTGATTTAGAACTCGATGATATGCTTCAACTGCATTATTAGTCCGTCTAACTAAATTGAACACACTAAAAAGTTGTGGTGTAACCCCTTCCAACCAAGTGGATTCCACATAAGTAAAAAAATTACTAAATGCATTACGAATATCGTCAGGGGCTTCAGATTTAATTAAATTAAATCCTTCTACGGCCATATCACATGGTAATAACGCTAATGCCATTATTTTCCTTAATACAAATTGAGCATGTTCATTTTGAGTCACTAGCGATCCCAATCCTAACTTTTTTGATTGACGATAAATTGCCTGTAAAGTATATTCTGGTTAACAATACAATTCAACTGACTATCTGTTTACCTGGCAAAAATGAAAAAAGCATCCATGAATTTCAGACTCAGGAAAAATCTCCATCAACGATTGATATAATGCTCTTTCATAGTCACACATTATTTGTGTAGCGGTCATGCTGGGGAAATTACTTTTTAAATGTTGAAACAGTGTTACATACGCTTCAGCAGTACGTTTGCTCATGAGTGCCCAGATACATGGTATCGACTATAAAAAAGTGGTCACTACAATTAAATTTTGGATTCGACTCACATGATTATGTATTGTCACCATTATGGTAAAACACTGCGCACTGCGCGTTGAAAGTCCAACATTGCATGGCACACATTTGAATGTTGCATCAACGTTCATTTCACAATTTGATAATAAAGGCTCAACATAAGTGGGATTGTAAAACAACAATATTTCAACATTTTCTGAAGGCTTTAAGAAGTAGCATTGAAGAGCGCCACGATCGTATGTCAATCGATTACACCACTTTTCTGATATTAGCAAGTCATAATATTCTTGCAAAGTGTTAGGATATGGGGGTCTACAAGTTCTTCTCCACCTAAACATAGCTGATTCAACAGCAGTAAATGGCAGTAAATTAGCCGCTTCAGGATATCTAAAAAAATTCATATATTGTTATTTAGATTCTTAACTGCAGAATATTAACTTACAATAAACGAATACTTTCGTAAATATCTTTACAAGAGCTAGTACTCCTACCCACAGACTGTCTTAACTCTCGCCGGAAGTAAAATAATTGATTTTCAGCAAAATCCTGAGGATGATTATGAGAAACAGAAAGCGAAAAATTCCCATCAGGCTTCAAAACACCCCTTGCAAAGCAAGGAAGAGCACACTTTGTACACATGTAATACCTATAGAAAACATTTTGATTAATATTACCAAAAAAAGAAATTGATAACATATTACAAGTACTTTACTTGTTTTTAGATACAATTTGATGTCATTTTCTTAATTCGTTTTCATGAAATATAATTATTCAATATAATATAATATAATAAGTACTTTTGACAATTATGATACGCAAGTATTAAACAATTACAGTGGAATCCCAATTAAACCAAACCTGTAATAAAAATATTTTTAGGAATAATAATATAGAAAACTACCGTTACTACTCTGTTTAAGAAACATTTCAATCTCTTGACACACCAAAATTTGTAAATATCTGATACATTAAGGGCCAGTTTTACAATCGCCAGTTAACCTTATCGGACAGATAACTGTCATAGACATAAAACAATTGTCTCCTTGGAAGTTATCTGTCAGTTACCGTTAACTGGCAATTGCAAAACTGGCCCTATATACAATGAACTGTTCCCATCACTATATTCCGTGCTACTTCATTTAATTAGACGTTGAATTTCTTAACAAAAAGTTTTAGTAATATTTTTTTTATATGAAAAGGTCCAGCAACCATTTCAAATTGACACAACCCCACTGTATCTAAAATTCACGATATGCTAATTATGCAGGGTAATGAATGTTTTAATTACTGATTATGATGCACGTATAACAAAAAATCTCTACACTAAAATTAGTCATAGAAAAGTTATTTTGCAGTGTGCTCTGATAGCTGTGGAATTGAATGCAATTGTGACTATCAATATCAATTTATGTAATAGTAACGCGCTTTACCTTTGGCTAGGTGCTGTAAAAACTAATCAAGTTTGAGGGATACCTTGAGAAATTCCATTGTAACCGTTTTAAGTAATAATTAGATAGTTTTCCACTAAAAATAACAATGACATTTTGAATGTTGAAACCGGTCAGCAAATAAAGCGATTTTTAGTGAAAATCTATTTAATTATTACTTAAAACTATTTAAGAAGTACTCAATTGCAAACGTAGTGAAATAGACGGTTTCGGCGTAAGTTTGACCTTGAAAGGATAAAGAGGAAAGTTCTACCCTAGTTTTGTTTCTTTCTAACAGTGTCGCCACACATAGCGCAATATATCCCCAAATTGATTAGTTATTTTTACAATATTACCATATAATTGGTAATCCATGTTTATAGTAATATAACCTTACAAAACATTCGCATAACCTCATTTATTCGTTTCTGTCATCATTATTTCCTGGCCTTTTCTAGTTTTCTCATTGCATATTTCCATTTATCTTTCACGTTCCACCTTTGATTATTTTATTTCCTTTTGCATTTTTTGAATACCCTGTCTTTAACCTTTATACCAAACAGTTTTTTTTTAAACTAAACTGTACACAATCCTTCTTGCTCAAGTAAGTAGTTTTATACTTTATAGATGTTTATAATATATTGCAATGTACAATTTTATTAGTGGATCAACCATCGATTTCCCTATTACCAGAAGATGTTCCTGGTGCTGTTTTACGCCATGGTGTAAATATTGAGGACCATTCTAACCTGGAGTTGCAAAGGTGGTTAGAGTGTCGTGCATTAAAGAAAACAGGAAATAAAACTGATTTAGTGCAAAGGTAAATAGGCAAATTTATTGTGCTTAGTAGAATTACTTATATCTCATTTATTTGTAGGGTTGTAAACTGTATTGAAGCGGGACGCAGTAATAGTATTTCCCTAGCTATTGATGGAGGCAAATGGTACGATATGAAACGGAACGTTGTTGTAACTGCTTCCACTTCAACTGCTGCATCAGGTCCTGCATCTGATGAGACTCTTCTGTGGGCAAGATTCCCATCTCGTGAAATCCCCCAATATTTCAACAAGGGCCACATCTATACCTATCTTGTGGGATGCTTCTTTGAAAATGAAGATTATGTCAGCAACAATACAGGTGTAACAGAAAAACCGTTTCGACGTGGCAGCCAGTTTGTAAGCAGCGATCACTTGCACGAAGTGTTTGACAGCAGTGATAACCGATTTTACCTTTTAAAAGCAAAGTGTTTTGCATCATTTAATAAGAATAAATTGTACTCTGTAGTGATAACTTTAAACAAAGCATCGGGAGCTGTAGTTAATGGTAGATGCGAGTGTAAACAATCTGCGTTAGGTAAATGTAGCCACGTAAGCGCTCTTTTGCTGTTCCTGGAGAAGTTTTGCGGAGAAAACGGCCACGATAACACTGCATGCACCAGCAAGTTAAGGCAGTGGGGTTTGGGTGCTAAACTGAAAAAACCTGGACCTATTTCCCAAAAGAAGTACGGCAATGTGAGATTCGAACCAATTCGCAGGGCAACGTTCGATCCAAGACCAGACAACTATGAAAGAACTGTCAATATAAACAATTTTATTTGCGATTTACAAAAAGAACGTCTTCCTACAATGTTCGAAACTTTATTCCAACTACGTTATGATGACTTCAAATTGGACCAAAGTAGTGTAGATATCGTCATACAACAAGTTCTAATTTTCAAGAAGAATATGGATCAGGAACTTATAAAACAAAAGAACATCTTTTCTGTAGAAGGTGCCGAAATTCAGCATTCGTTGGGTTGGTTTAGATGGAGAAGCTACTTTATCACAGCATCGAATGCAAAGACCGCTTCATCCCTAGTGAGTCTTTCCGCAAAAAACAATTATTTAAAAAGAAATCTATGGCAATTAACACCAAATTTATTGACGGCAGCAATGAGATACGGTCAAGTTAATGAGGCGAAGGCAAGGGACAAGTATGTAGCCGATCACATTCAACCAAATGAACAATTTGTGCAAGTAGGGCTGTATATGAACAAGAAATACCCTCACCTAGCGTGTAGTGCTGATGGAGTTGTGACAACCAACGGAGTGATCACAAGAGTCATAGAAATCAAATGCCCTAAAGTGCTCGAAGACAAAGATCCATGTCAGTGGAACAGTGTGTTAACAGGTCAACAACAGAGCAACTTTTTCGCGTATGAGGAAAATAATAAAGTGTTTTTAAAAGCGAACCATCCATATAATTATCAGGTTGCTACAACAATGTTAATTTTTGAAGTTCCCGAATGTGATTTTGTTGTGTGGTCAAGTGTAGGTCTCCTAGTTTTTAAGGTACAATTATCTGATATCTCTAGGCATGTTATTGACGACATAACTAAAAAGCTTAAAAAAATGTATTATAATATGTACATTCCAGAATTATTTTTAATGCGAATTCCGAGGAACTTACCATTATTTGAGTTGGACTACTTTCAAGAATAATGTATACTATACTATATTTTGTGCTCTTTGTTATAATTACATACATAATGTTATAATAAAATTATGTTAAAACTGGTTTTTCAAAGTTTACCAAAAAACAAATTATACTAAATATATTGGACATAATGGGTAACATTGAAATTTGCACTGGCTTTGCTAAAATTTGGTAGCTTTTTATTCGTCTGATGGAGCGCTCTACAGTAATACGACACTTTGCAATTTTCTTTGTTAGTATTTCTTCTTCCGCTGTTAATCTTGTCCTGCCAGCCAAGAAAGGTGGAATGATTAATTTATATTTGTGCTCATCACAAATGTCTTGAATGGTAAAACCACGATCTGCCATAAGCACATCGTCTTCTTCCAAAAATACAGAAATGTCTGACGACTTAAATAGTTCGATGTCCGAAATGGACCCCTCGTAACCCTCACTGTTGTATACAACTGCCCCTCTTGAAGACACTCCCACTAAAAACTTGATCGTATTGTAGTGCTTGTAGCTGGAATGGGTGTTTCCTTGTTGCTGAAAATTTTTGGACATCTGCATCCGGACTTCAGTGGTATCCAGAACTACGGTCACTTTGTCATTAAGTAGGCGAAAACAAGCAGGCATGTGTCTTATATCAGTGGCACGAGCACCTTTCATGAAAGCATTGCGCAGAACACACGTTTGTAAATAAACAAATTGCACCCACGTATAAAATATTGCCGACACTTGGGTGACACTCATGTTATAAAATATAGATAATTCTTTCAGTGTATAACCTCTTCTTAAACGAATTAGCACTAAACACAGTTTATCTTTGTTGGACAGTTGCATACATTTGGTTCTTAGTGCATAACTTTTATGATTGTACATTAATTTTGACATTACATTTTCATCCAAGAAATTAAATAACGCCTCAAACAGTGGTAACGTCAATCCAGTGAAATAGTGAAAATTCTTGCTGTGCTGGAATTCTGAGAACAAGAAACAATTTTGAAACTGCTTCAACTTCGACACATTTTTGCACTTCACATCCACGGGTTCTGAAGCTGTTTGGGTGGCAGTATGATGATAGTTGCTAGTTGATCGTTTAGTGTATGTGTGATCACTGTGATCTCCACTTCCAACATTTACATTAGCCAATGCCCTTTCCAGATTCACATTATCTTCTTGGGAACCTGAGCCGACTTCGATGAAACTTTGAATATCCAAACTATTTAGACGTAGTAGAGGGTTAGTCAAGTAGCTTTGATGCGGTTCTGGATTTTCTGATTCCCTTGTAGCAAAATGCTGCTCACAAATATACACATTCTTAGTAATATTAGATGGGTTTAGATTGTTGTTTCCACATAGTTCAATCCATAATAAGCTCTTCGCCATATTCCGCAGTGGTTTAGGGAACGGATGATAACGGAGATTGCGACACCTTTTAGACTTTGAGGTGTTGTTGCAATCCTTGTAATGACACTTTGGCATTGTAATGCCTCCTATAATGAACAGAATCAATCATAATGTAACCTTCTTTTTACATAATACTTACTTGAGCAAGAAGGATTGTGTACAGTTTAGTTTAAAAAAAAACTGTTTGGTATAAAGGTTAAAGACAGGGTATTCAAAAAATGCAAAAGGAAATAAAATAATCAAAGGTGGAACGTGAAAGATAAATGGAAATATGCAATGAGAAAACTAGAAAAGGCCAGGAAATAATGACGACAGAAACGAATAAATGAGGTTATGCGAATGTTTTGTAAGGTTATATTACTATAAACATGGATTACCAATTATATGGTAATATTGTAAAAATAACTAATCAATTTGGGGATATATTGCGCTATGTGTGGCGACACTGTTAGAAAGAAACAAAACTAGGGGAGAACTTTCCTCTTTATCCTTTCAAGGTCAAACTTACGCCGAAACCGTCTATTGGGTCAATTTATCTACAACAACACTGTTTCTCTATTAATACAACTCTGTGGTCATTACAGAAAAAAATTTACTAAACAAAATTCAATTCACCAATTTACTAATGCAAAAATACTTAGAACCTTAAGCACGAAATTCAAACGATCACACTCTAATGAATCACCTGGTACAATCAGTGCGTTCGGTTTTACAAGATTTGGTCGCTCTTTTAACTCTTTAAGCTCGAATTGCGTTCGGTTTTCACCTCATATCGCTCATTTTAATCTATTTCGTGTTCGGTTATATGCACTCTTGTTGCTCCGAGTTAGCTCGATGCGCTCTATCACTTTAGACCGAGTGTACCGATTTAATTGTCAGTAGGTCAACTGTACCGTTTATAATTAGCGCTTTTTCTTTACTTATAACCTAAAAAATGTCGGAAGAATTTAGTACTTTCGCTTTTAAGTGCGATTTATGTAATTCAATCACTGAAAATGTTGAAGAAATGTTTGCGCATATGCTTGAAAATCATAATTTGCAAGGTAATTTTGAAGTTATCTTTATAGTTTGATACCACTAATTGAAATAATTGTAGAAGGAGAAGCTCTGCAATGTATAACTACCAGTACTGTGGAGTCTCAAGGTTTACCTTTTCCCGAGAAGGCAACAATCGAACCGAAAGTATGGAATTCTCAAATGACCATGTCATTCATTACTTTAGTTGACGAAAATCAGACTGAAATGGAGCACTCTGTAAAAAAACATGTTTGGCAAAAAATTGCCTCTCTTATAAATAGCAAATTCAATACTACTGTTACATGGCAACAGTGTGACACTAAATGGAAGTCGTTGAAGAAGACTTACAAAGATATTAAGGATCATAATGGCACTTCTGGGAAAAATAGACGAAAGTGGGAATACTATGATGCAATGAACCAATTATTATTCAATAAGCCGGAAATTGAAGCCATTGCTACATGCAGTAGCCATGCTGGCCTTATTGTCAGTGCAGAAAAGGGTTCATCGCCATGCCATTCTGGAAGTAGTACTCCCACAAGTAGAAGTAGCACTCCTACTCGAGACAAGGGCGAAACATCTTTTTCAAGAAAACGTAAAGCAACCTTAAATGAAGTAGACAAAAGACACAAAGATAAGTTGGCAAGGCAAGATCGTTTTCTTTCCTTATTTGAAGAGTTCGTTACTACATTTAAAAATAAAAATCAGTGAAATAATGTAATATTTGTGTATTTACTTTGTTATCTACATGTATTACTAATGTACTTTCAAAATAAAAAATTCATCAGTTTTGAAAACGTACATTAAGTGGCAATGTATTCATGATATAGTTACGTTTATCAACCGCAGGTACATCGATAATACGTTCCTCAGCATGTGCAGGAACCACGTTTCCTACTTCTACCTCATTAGGTTCGACAATGTCTTCTGGAAAATCACCTTTTACGATACATATATTACCTATGCAAAATACATCCAGATACGATTAACAGTGAAATAAGGTCTAGTCGCACTGTTTCCAGAGATTTTAAGCGACGAAACCGTCCTTTTAGATAACCGAAGGCATTTTCCATTACTACTCTACATTGAGACAATTTATAATTAAAATTTTTTTGTCGAGCTGTTAATACACCTATATTTTTAAAGCCCACTATGAGATATCGTGATAATGAATATGCCAAGTCTCCAACCAAATGAGTGTCATTTGGAAATGTCACCTCTCCCGTGGTAATTCTTTGACATAAATCGGATTTTCTGAAAAGCCTCAAATCATGGATAGAACCCGGTTCGCCTGCATACACGTCTGTAAAAAGCTTCTGATGATCACATACTCCTTGCAAAAGAACGGAGTGATAATGTTTTCTATTGCAATAGGAATTAGGATTGTCTTTTGGTTTTAGTATTCTGATATGCGTACCATCTATGGCACCGATAATGCCTGCAAGATATTGAACTATTATATGAAATTGCTTTTGCAGTCAATACCTACCTGGAAATCCATTTAATTGACGAAAATGTTCAGATATTATAAGACTTCGAGCCGCATTTGGCCATGTGATTATTTTGTACCGTTCATTAGCCTGCAATAACATTTTGCAGGTCCTATAGAGCACATCCCAACATGTGCTTTTACTTATTCCAAACCTGTCGGCAACAGATCTGAAAATAATTATAATCTACATACACTCGAATTGTGACACAATGCTTATAGATTAGCATTACAATAACCATTAACAAAAACTCATATTTTTATGTATCGTACTTACCGAAATGACTCTAAATTAGAAAGAGACCAAATTGTTATCAATAGTTGTTTGTCGATAGCCATTTCTGGATGTCCTACGCGTATTTCTGATACGTGAATGGCGCTAATTTTGATTATTAAGTCCTCAAATGTGGTTACTGTAATCCGAAAATGCTGCTGAAATTGTCTGCCGGAAAATCGGGGTACAATGTCTTCGGCAAAACCTTCTACTTTTGGTAGAACCTTATTTGCAGACTCTTCATAACTGTCATCAAAAAATAAATCCTTTGCCAACGAGATTGCCATTACCAAACCTTCTGCCAATTCCATGTTAACGTACCACCACCGTTGGGTTAGGTATTTCTTTATAATAAAATTGAGGTTATGCAACGTGTGATCGTTTACCTCCAAGTACCGTTCGGTAATTCCACCAACCTCTTAGACATCTGATCACGTGATTTGTACAATCGTAATCTGCTCAGAAGGATCCTAAATCACAAAACCGAACGCACTAAGACCTTGGTAGTAGTAGATCATTTATTTCATAAACGGTAGTTCTAAACGAACTTTTTAGTTTTTAGTTCAGATACATTTTTGGACAAATGATTTCCGACCGACCACCTTTCAACAAAAACAAAAATACAACCCTTTGTTCTGTGATAAAAATAAGCCAAAAATGTGCGTGTAATTGCACTGTGATATTACTTATCCTGTCTACTTTGTTAGTTTTTAATATCTCGTTTTAATTCACGCATATTATTTGTGCTTGAATTCTGTACTTCTTACAATAAATTGTAAAATGGGTTTAAGAGTTTTGGTTCTCATTTTTTCTTTAAGTCTCTTAGTGGCTGGATACAAACCAACTGTTTTATTGCATGGGATACTCACAGGGAGTGAATGTATGACGTTAATAAAAGATCGAATACAAGAGGTGAATAACTTCTAATACATTAAAATTTACCTATAGATTTTAGAAACACCCAGGAACTGTTGTTTATAATATTGATCGATTTGGAGGCTGGTCAAGTTTAGATAGCATGTGGTACCAGATTCAGCAGTTGAAAATGGATATATTAAATATTAGTCAAAGTCATCCGGAGGGTTTTAACTTTCTCGGATACTCCCAAGGAGGTTTACTAGGACGTGCGCTAATACAGGATTTACCTGATCATAATGTACATAATTTTATATCCTTGAGCAGCCCACAAGCAGGACAGTACGGAAGTAGGTAACACGTTACATCTATTCTTTCAATACATATTAATTATTACAATTTCAGCCGAATTTCTGCACATAATTTTTCCAAACCTAGCTTTAAAAACTGCATATGAACTATTTTATTCACGAGTTGGTCAGCATACTTCGGTTGGAAATTATTGGAACGATCCCCACCACCAAAGTTTGTACTATTCGTATAGTGATTTTTTACCGTACATCAACAACGAAATAGGTTCAAACAAGAGCGAGCAATTTAAAGCTGCTATTTTAAAACTAAACAAGTTAGTATTAATTGGTGGTCCAGATGATAATGTTATTACTCCTTGGCAATCTAGGTTCGTATGCAACTGTTTACGAAAGGTGATCTAATTCTTTTTCATATTTAGTCAATTTGGTTACTTTAATTTAAATGAAACTGTCGTTAAGTTAGTGGATCGGGATATCTACATTGAAGACACGATTGGTCTAAGAACACTTGATAAAAAAGGGAAGTTAATTCTGATTACTGTACCGGGAATTGATCATTACATGTGGCATATTAATGAAACTATTGTTGATCAGTACATTTTACCTTATTTAGATTGAATACCGACTGATTTAGATCAGCTATAGCAAGGAGGTGGAACGATAAGAAGGTGCAAGCTTTGTTCCTTATAAAAGGTGTGTTCATACATATATTTAAGGAGTGTGCAATATCAGTTTTCAATTTCCCTTTCTGCTGTCTCCTTTTTAGTTATGTAGGTCCAAGTGACTG